ACTTGATTTTCACTTTGCATTTGACTTTGTACTAATTCATTTGAACTTAGTATCTCTTAAATGAACTATTCTGAACTTATTGTACTTGCTAATCAAATCGTATAACCCTTATTTTTATAAAATTCAATTTATTAAACTTTCTTTTTCTAAAGCTAAAAAAAATATATAAGTCTAGTAAAAATTAATTTCTATTCGATGATATTAGTTTAGTTAAGTTAAGTAAAAATAATTTAAGCTATGTGAATTAAGTTTTAATAACTAAAATTCAAATTTTAAATAACAAAGTATAACATATAATCGGTAATAATAAGTTTAGCTTTAAATGATGTTTTAAACCTAATTATTTTTATAATTAATCTAGTTTGAAGTATAGGTCTCGTTCACTTCACCTTATTTTTATTGAACTGAAATTAATTTTATTGAACTTAAATTATTTTTACTGAACTTAAATTTTATTTACCGAACTTATTTTTTTTACTAAACTGAAATTATTTTTAATTTGTTGAACTGAAATTATTTTTACTGATTCTCTATTATATTTTTTCTTTAACGTTACTGGATTTTATTGAACTAAACTTATTTTTTATTGAATTGAAATTAATTTTACTGAACTGAACTTACTTTTATCGAACTGAACTTACTTTGATTGAACTGAATTTACTTTTACTTATGACTTTACGTGTAACTGAAATTATTTTTACTTAATACCAATATACTAAACACGGTCTTTAGTATGTGACAAAAAAATATTCCGTAGTAATAACAAGTTTTAAGTTAAGCAAATTAAAGGTTATATTCAATTAGTTCAATTAAATTTAAAGAAGTTTCCGCCACAAGTGAAAATAAGGTGAAGATAGCAAATTAAAACCAACTTTTAAAATAAACATCCAAATGAACTTAATAATAATCTGTTACAACGGCAGCCGGCCTTTTCGGTTTCTTGCAATTTGAACCTCCTTTAGTCCTTACTCCGATCCAAGCTTTTCCTGTTCTTTGAAAACGTTAATCAGCAATTTACACAATGCAATTATTTGTTGGAAATTTGGAATACTTACCTTTTTTATTTTTAGGTGCCACTTGCAAGATTTTACACCTGTATTATTTTATTTTCCTTATTTTAGGGTTCAAATAAGATTATGGTTTTAATTTCGTATCAAAGATAAGATTTTGATTGGAGAATTTTATTTAATTCCTAATATTTTAGATACTAGTAATAATTTTTTGATTTATTTCCTAAAATACAAATTTCTTGTGACTTTGCATTAAATTGAGAGTAATTAGCAAAATTAATGGAAAAGGAAACATCTTCTTGTGTTTGAATTACTCATCAATTACTATTGACTTACTCCGTATGTCTTTATCCAGCACTCCTTATCTCATATTCTCATGTCTCATGGGATGTATAGTTACTTGAAAGTTGAATTGAAATTATGCCCTTTAGGCTTTAGACCCCTCTAAATTTTATTTGTTACTCAATTTAGTTCATAATAATATCCATACTCAAAATTTATTAGGATAAAGTACTTTTTTTTTTGAGAAAAATTAGGATAAAGTACTTAGTATAACAAGTTAATAGTTATAATTTTTTTTTATCACGCCGTCGTAGACTTGTGGTTATGCAAATAATATACGAAGTATTAGTTGTATCTTATTACTAACTTTCTCTGTTATTTATTAATTGCAACGATCAAGAGAGTTTCACATTTGTTATAATTGCTAATGCACATTTTATATCATTAATATCTCTAATAAAATTAAACATTATTTCAATTACTTAACGTATAAATCACAAAATACGATAAAAGAAATATGCATAAATTCTACTCATAAATAGTGTAACATTTTAAAAATTGCAATAAAAAAGAAAAGGGAATAAACATATGTTTTGCACTTTTGCATTGCGTCCTACTCCCTCCCTTCCCTTAATTTAGATTCCCACTTCTCTCTATTATATGAGGAATAAATGCTACAAGTAAGAATCTAATTAAGGGCCAAAGGGAGTAATATATTTGATCGATTGGTTGTTCAATCGACTAATATAATACTACGCATAAACTATGTACAACAATATTAAATTTAAATAGGCCCTACTCTGTCACTTAAATTATTTCATGAAAAAAAAGTTCAATTTGAAATTTAGAATACACCACTAATTAATCAGTTCTCCCATTTCTTTTTGTTTTAGCTAACTTAGGATAATTATATGTACAGTGATAGGATAAAATTCATCAATAACTAAACCATATTTATCTCCCACTCTAACCCTTTTTATACGGTAGAGTCCAATTTTATTAACCAATTAAATCTTTTAAATTTACGAAGAAAGAATTATCAAAAAATAAGTAGAAAATCACTTGCATTTTTTTTTTCTTCCCATTTTTTAAAAATGAGCTCTTTGTTAATTGACTTATATTATTGTAACAAACAGTCCAATTTTAAGAATAAGGGGTTAAAATGCAACTTATACAACGTTGCGAGTCTTGGATTTACGTGGTCCACTAGCAAGACATTAGCTACTTCAACTAATAGTTTAACATGGAAATATGTCATCCGATGATAATGACAGATTGACAATCACTCAAAGCATGATCCAAATATATATGATCACATAAAGTATATTGAAAATTTGAACTAGGGCAGTAGAAAAAATTCAAGGCAATATTGATAACATGATTTTGGAAGCGCAATCAATCGTACTTGGAGAAAGGGTAATAGACATCAAAAGGAAGATCACCTGCTAATTTCTTATACTTAGTACACTTTGTACAACTACTAGGAAGTCTAGGATCGATCATCATCCAGGTTTGTGCGTTGGCCTGGTCGATATCAACTGCTCGTACTTGGTATGTTGCACACGAAACAACCATCATTCTTTCATTGATTGGCGTGAAGTTAAGTAACTTTACATTTATAGCTCAAATCACCGACCTTTTGATACATAAAATTAATTGTTACCTTAATGTAAAGGACACATTTATAGGTCTTTTCCTTATGTTATAAACATTTTTTTTCCTATACATAGGCCATGAGAATACTCTAGTAGTCAAAGTTACCAATAGCATACCAGTGCAACAAACAATGAAACGACAAGCCAGTGAAGCTACTTGCAGAAGGGATATCTCACACGGTCACGCCCATGATCATTGTGCACAACAATGAATTTAGTGTGCACCGTGTACGTATGAAATTTGTCGTCGTTTGATCTACTCCGTAATGTTTTGACTTTTAGTGTGCACCGTGTACACATGAAATTTTCCTTTTTACCTATTATTTTGACGTATAGTGTGCACCGTGTACTCATGAAATTTGCCTTTTTATCTATGTTTTGACTTAATCCTTCCCTATTATAGCAAGGTCATAACCTTAGTTTTTTTGTTTGCGCTGGGAGGTGGGTATTTTTAGCAGCAGCATCATATTCTCCAATTTTTGTTCTTCTCTGTTAATAGTAATAGAACTTGTTTTGACCTAAATGCCTGATTACTAAATTCACTATAATAAGCATAATACCAAAAGAAGATTATCGAGCACAGAAAGATAAATTTTTTACACAACAATTACTAGCAAACTAGCACAGAAAGATATAGTTTACATAAAATTTACAGAAGATTGAATGCCATTTGACATAAATTTCAAGACCTCATGATAATGCTTGCATGCAACCCTTAATGATTCTCACACTCTAACAGTTTTATCAAGAGATGATCGGAGACGACGAAAACAGTTATCGAAACCAAAAAAAACAAGCGGTACTCGTCATCTACAACGGTACCACTAGTTTTTAAATTTTCTTCTTTTCACAACAAAAACTGGTCTTCCAAAAACCAAGATTCTTACATCAACAACATACAAAGCATGAGCTAAGTATCATCACAGTGAACTTGTTTTTCCAACGAAATACAGCCAATCAAATCCAAATATTAACACAAGAAATTCAAGGTCTGAAATGAATGCGTCAAAGCACGCACAATCAATTGTTCTTTGAGAACGGGTAGACTCCACAGATGGTATCCCATGTAGAAGTACCCAGCCCAGAACTTTGATTTGATTCATCACAAGGCAGAGCACTGCCTTGTTTGTGTTCATAATTGAAATCATCACCCAGAAGTGCCCCAAAATCTCCTGTGATTGATTCGTCTTTGCTGCGCCCAATGCGATGGCTAAACCAATATGAGTCCAGCAACGCATCAGGCCTTAAATACTCTAGCGGACATGAAATGTCCTTCTTCCCATCTAATTCTGCTGATATCCAGTCAAATTTGCCTGCATGAACAGTAAGAATTAGATTAATTTTTTAGATGTAAGACATCAAAGATATAGACTACCCTATATATCCAGTCAAATTTGCCTGCATGAACAGTAAGAATTAGATTAATTTTTTAGATGTAAGAAATCAAAGATATAGACTACCCTATATTAAGGATAGACTACTAGAATTACATAGCACTAGAAAGAACAGAATTAAATGGCTAAAAGTACAACAAAGAACAGTAGAGATTAGATTAAGTTGTCTTGAGGGTTAATCTACTCTAATTCAAGCAGTTTTTTTTTATATCTAAAAAAAATAAAAATTGATGATCTTGGTTGGGATCAAAATGAAAGAACTAGCTTCCCTACACCCCTCTTCGGAATTAATTAGTCCTGTGTCCAATTATTAAGCAGAAAACTATCCATCTTTATTTCTCAACTAATAACAATTTCCCTATGTCCCTCGAGTCAAGCTTTGTCCTGTGACTCTGTGAGACCACAAAGACAAATTTACTCAATGGCTATAACAGGTATTTGGAAGATTGAATACCATTGATTAAAATTGCACATGTAACATGATAAAATTTTAACAACTGAGGTTAATGCAAGAAACAAATTACTAACCTGGTATAGTCTCAGGCTCAGCTGACTGGGGTTCATCTGATGAGCTTCCACCACTAACAGGAGTGAACTCGACAAAAACAGAAGCAGCAGAATGACTAAGTGGTGATATTGGATCACCACAAGCATCCCATTTTGGTTCACATACATTTCGTGATGAAGATTCAACGACATCACCAGCCATGACAGAAGTGTCTAAACCCTGCTGGTGAGAATTATAATTTGAGCACTTCAAAGACTGTGATTCATACACAATTGCCTCCAACAGGCCACTGCTGCGTGGCGAAGGGCAATTTGATTGAGTGTGCTCACTCAAGGGGGATTGGATTAAAGTATCAACAGACTCAAGGGAAGGCAGCGGGGAAGATGGAGTAGCCCAGCTACCTACTTGAGATGCTGAGTATTGGAGTGAAGGGAGCTCCAGCTTCATGGCCTCGGAAACAGGCTCAGAAGAAGAGGAATTGCCATTAATAGGGGCATGGCTGCCAAGAACATCAATCGCGGAGGTTCCATTGATATTCAAATCCGGATCATATATAGGAGGTGACCAAAGAGGCTGTACAGGGACAAGCCTTCCAAAAGGATCATCTTCATGCTGTTCAAATTTAGGAAAAGTAATGCTGGTACTTGGGACAGTAACATGGAACTGGCTATCCACCTCTCGAAGGCGTTTCTGAGGATTCAATGATGAAAACATGAAACCATAACTATTAGATGAGCTCACACCTTTTGGGAGGAGACTTGCAGGAGCAAGATCAAGTAAAGCAGGATCAAGCCCAAAATTCTTGAACTCTACTTCAGGAATCTGAAAACTATTTGTATCTGAGGATTCGGAATGGTGCATGTCTCCACTCTGGCATGTCATCATCTCCTCACTTTGTTGACTATCATTCCTTGCTTGCCTACTAACACTAGGAGGATATATGGGTAAGCCAGCTCGTAGCAGCCTCTTAATTCTTGTATTCCAGTAGTTCTTTATCTCATTATCTGTACGCCCAGGCAACTGGAAGGAAGAAGGAAGTAAATAAGCATTAACATATTGGAAGCTAGGACAAATATAGGGCGACTGGGATATGGGGAAAGAGAGGAACCAGAGAATAAGGTAAAAAGAAACGGAAATAAAAAAAGAAGAATTGCTGGATATATGTGATGAAAGTCTAGCAGAAGACATCACATGATATGCATGAACAGCTAGAAATGAGCTACAGACAGGACACAGGATGCAATTAAAGTATTATTCAAAACTAAATAAAAATTGAAAGCAAGATAAACAGGAAGTTGAAAGTGCACAGAAAAATAAACCGAACCACATTTCACTCTGCGAAAAGTGAGATATTATTCCCACTAGAGAACTGAGTCCAACAGATGACATAGCAACATCAGAGCAATTTAGCCAGACATTAAATTTTACCTATAGCACACAAAAGGCCTTACAAGCAACCGTCATATTTTTCCTTTGATGCAATCAGAAACTTACATACCAGGATAATAATAAACAAGTTAAGACTCTAAGTTCTGTTTTCAAATGTAATAGCCTAATGCAACCCCTTCCCCCCCCCCCCCCCCTCTTCCCCCAAGAGACCAGGGTTGAATGATCGACCAGTGTCATGACATGAGAAGCAACCTAAACAAATAATAAATGCCTTTAGCTTAGTCTGGGAAAAAAAAAAACAAAAGGCACACATCGGGTACAGAAAATTTCTACCAAGTGTCTATTACAGACTGATAAAATGATTCATTTCCAAAAGGGAGTAAAAACAAACATTGATTTTTGACTTTCAGATGCAGGAAAATATCCAGCGCAATGTGAGAACTGTTGAAAATGACACAATTTCAATGTTTACATGTGATTAAAATATGTAGTCAACGAATTGATATTAAGAACAGCTAATAAAAAAGCTTAAGGGAACCCATAAGTTCAAAGCAACAAGCATGACAAATTTTTAAAGAGAGATGCTAAAAATGTACCTCTGCAGCCATACGAGCCCACTTATTACCCATCTTAGCATGGAGTTCTATGATACGATTTTCTTCTTCAGGGGTAAATGATCCTTTTTTCAAATCAGGTCTCAAGTGATTTGCCCATCTCAAACGACAGCTTTTTCCACATCGTGAAAGTCCTGAATGTTTTTGGACTGCATTCCAATTTCCCTCTCCATGCTTTGTGACATATTCCACCAATATTGCGTCCTCAGCTGAGGTCCACGGACCTTTCTTTAGACAGCTTCCCCCAGAAGAGTTCCCACCACTCGAAACCTCTTCAGCACCAGGGGAATTTTTACGACATCTTGCAGCCTTCCTTTTGTCACTGTCGCTTGTCATTTCAATCATTTCAACAGATTGCCTAAAGTTGTCAGCAATCCATCAGAATGTTGAAACAATGATGTAGCTTAGCAACTAGATCATCCTAAAGACAAAAAACAAGCAATACAAAAAACTATGCAAATAGATTTAGCAACATTGTTGTCATGGCAAAGCAACAATAAGGTGCATTTGCATTTCAAAAGCAGGAAAAAAAATGAGTGCATATGCCAAAAAAAAATCAATGCTTAAACAAGTTTCACAAAGGGGGCCAAAAACAGAACAAGCTCCACTTGAAAGATGCCGAATAAGGCTTAATTTTTTGCAATTAATAGTACACTCTAGCATTCATTCTATGAACCTCATGATAAACCTCTTCGAGTCCTCGTTTAACAAGACAGACAAGGCACAACAATCAAACATCTCTATAGAGTAACCAAATGTCATTCTACAATGCAAACTCAACCAAAACAGAAAACCATGGATAAAAGAGCCATAAAATCTCACATTTGCGCGCTCTTAAGGATCATTGGAGCGGCTCGAAAAGGTCAATTGGAAACTTAAAACAGCATCAACAGACACCAATAACAATGAAAACAGATGAAATACCGATACGACGATACCTCATCATAACAATGTCATGAAACAGATTGGATTTCATCATTCTCAATTTCATAAATCATACTTAAGTGGACATAGAATATATGCTACTTTCTGCTCAAAATTCCATAGTTTCAAATGGTGATCCAATCACAACTAACATCAATTGAAACAAATCACAGTAAAATCTGAATCATTTCTGCATTTTCATGAATAAACTAGTTTTCAACAACAATATAATTGAACTAATTTAATAAACAGAGGAAAAAATAAACACTTTACCTGTTGAACTGCAATGGTGATCAATCTTCAACAACCACCCAGATAACTACCACAATCTGATGCCCTAATTCAGACCAATTGGAGCCTAATTAAGCTTATCAACTGAATTTTTTTATGAAAAAAAAAATATGAAAAATTGGTACCAAAAAATTTTAGGAATTACAATGCTTTTGATCGGATAGAAGAAAAAATCAGCCTTGACTGAAACTTAATTCACAGAATTCAGATCAAAAACAAAATCCCAAAATTCCCAAAAAAATATTAGGGAAAAATACACTTAAAAATTCACGATTTTTCAGATCAAATCAGAGTACAAATTTTTAAAAAAAAATCTAAAAAAAATACCCAAAAAAATTCAACTCATAATTCGAAAAATCAGCGCAAACCCATAACGACCCTCATCAATTTCAGAAAACCCACAACACCAGAAACCCAATCAGATCCAGAAAAAATTCAAAAAATAAAATAAAATTGAAAAACAGAAGAAATGAGGAGAAAACCACAATTAAAAAAAGAGAAAATCTGGAATTCAAACTAGCCGTAATCGAAGAAAGAAGACGACATAAAGAGAGATCAAAAGGAATTGAGTTGATTGAGTACAGAAGAAGAGAAAATAAGGAGAGAAAGTAGAGTGAGAAACGCAAGTGTACTTTTTTTTTTAGAGAGGGAAAGGTAAAGTTTTAGAGAGAGAGTAAAAATGGCGAAATTGGAGTAAAAGTCGGGGAGAAAGCTTAGGGCGAGAGTACACACAGCTTTGCTACTTCTCCCAAGTGTTGTTGCTTTTCTTCTTCTTCCTCATTCCCCCTCTTTCTCTCTCTTCAAATTATTTTTTCTGCGTTTTTTATAGAAAAAAAAATAAAATTAGACCTATATTTTATTATTGGGTCAAAATATTAAAATATGTTTGACATTATAATAGGCCCAATATTATAAGTACAGTGTTACTTTAATTAATTGAATAATAATCACATGAAATTAAGAGAATAATTAAAGCATAATTAATGAGTATGATATTATTGTATAATGTAATGTTTTGACTTAATTATTTCCTTTTTGACATAATGATTTTCCTATTATAGAAGGAGAAGTTTGCCTTTATTAGAAGGGATCTTTTTATTGTTTAATAATGGTAGTGAGTAGTACTAGTTATCTAATGTATGATAAAGTTTTTGTACTTTGTTAGACTCGTGTGTTTTTTTTTATTTAAAAAATAAATTTAAAAATTGATGTAGATATTTATGGGATTGAATTTAGAATGAGTCAAATAGATTTAGATCTCAATTTTGTAATTTAAATTTTGAAATTTATCCTATTTTGTTTTTTAAAAAACTCATTTGAAATTGTGTGTATTTATCTATGTTTAATATGTTGTCTAAATATAATGGTATATTTTGATACTAAAATTTAGCCATAATGATGTCAAACAAGCCCTAAAATTAACGGTTTTTGGAAAATACAAATGGGGTGAACATTTTAGTACTAAAATTTAACCATAAGGGACTATTAATAAGAGACGAAGGGAGTAAAACTTATTACTTTGTTTATTCCCAAATTAAAGGCCCGGTTTGGTGAAACCAATAGTAGCGGATAGCTTTTAGTGGTCGAGAATTGGATATCTGTTAGAATAAAATACAATAAAAGTCATACACTCCACTTTACATTTCAACTGCTAAAAATTTTAACATTTGAGAAAAGCACCTCAACTACCAATCATTATATGAAACGCTATCTTACCAAACACTCGTATCAAAACGATAACTGATACATAAAAATAAGATAATGAATTTTTGGTGGTTCAAAATAAATTAAATAGAAAACATTTGATTATTGATTAATGAAATTTTATTTAGTTAGATGAAAAGAGAGACAAAAATAGTGTGTTGTGATTTAATTTTTAAATGATTACTATATACTCCATCCGTCCTTCAAAATTATTACACTTTAACCGCCAGTGTTAAGTAATTAAATTGACTATGATTCAAAATTATACTAAACTGGAATTACGGCAATTTAAACCAATTTCAAAGATAAATCATGCTGATACATCTCATAGCTGCAAGTCCATGCATATAATTGCACTTTTTAGGGTTGGTGAATGTACATCGGAAGTGAAGATGTGTTTGACTGAAATGTATAAATTGAAATGATCATTAGCAAGATAACACTTTTATTCCACTATTTGAAAATAGCAGAGTAAAAGTATCTGGGTTTAAATTACAATATAACTCTCTCTATATTGTACAGGTTTATATTACAATATAACTCTCTCTATATTGTACAAGGTGTAGTATATAGGAAAACTTGTGTATGGTATGACTTCTTTGTTGTGTTGTATTATTGAATGCCCATGACCGTGTAGATGGAGCTTGATTGGAAGATATGGCAAGAATATTCTAGAAATTCTTTCATCATTCTTGTATCCATAATGTTCTAGAAAATTCACGAACCATTGAGCAAGTACTGATCTTCCTTGATAATTCCGAAAGCATTTAGAATATGCACAATACTCCACCAAAATTATGGGCTTATAAAAATTGGGTCATACCCAACACAAAGGAAGCCAAATTTCAGGCTTTGGGCTCATTGATCCATATTTTACGTTGTCCACATTACAGCACAATTAAGTTACATTTTGACATGAAGAGTAAACGTTGGAACAACCCAGCATCAGGCACACAACAGAAAGGTGAACAATAAATAACAAATGGCCAATTAATTTACGAGACAGGTTAGATGATAAAGAAGTTACCAGGAATTTCATCAAGCAAAAAATTAACGTGCTAGATTTTCATCGTATGCTCAACCAAACAATCACTTACATAATAATATCAACTCGGGCAAATAAAATATATTCTCCTATGAGCAGAACATTCTTGCAAACAGGTAGCTATGGCAGCCCTGCACAACATCGATCAAGGGTGCAGTTTGGCATGCATTCTCAACATCACAATTTTTCCATTTCATCAAAATCTTCTCGGCAGTACAAGCCACCCTGTGCTGCAGAACGGCACCACCCTGAGGCCCAATCAAATTCAGCCTTGTTGCAGCGGAGATTACGTCTCTTAGAGTGACAAACAAGTAAGCCCGTTGAGAAATATCAGGAGAAATTCCAAGAAGCCCACAAACAAGTCCAAATATGGGAGCATGGTGGAAGGAAATAGCCTTAGCACCCAATGATTGTTCTCTCATGATTTTCAAAGAAGGTACTTCTGTAAACATGGCTGCAGCAATCCTCAGAAGAGCTGAACCTTGAGTAGTTGATGCTTTACGAGCTACCTCATTGGTTAGCATTGCATCCAACATCTTGTCAAGTTTATGCCAAGTTTCTATGTCATGTGATATAGAAGTAGCATGTACAAAAGGGAGTAGTAAGCTCCCGGTATTTTGCAAAATTTGGATCACAAAAGTCTGGAGATCCTCAGGATTATTGACTAAACGAGATTGTATGGCAGCCTCGAGGCCAAATGAATGTGCAAAACCACCTGTTGGTAAAATGGAATCAAGAAGCTGCCATAGGCTCCATTCCAAGGAGTTGCTAGATGGATAAACGTCACATTCTTTATTTTCTTCCATCACGCCCTCCATTTAAAAGGGCATAGCCACACAAATGTAGACAATCTAGCATAACAATGAAAATTTGCATAAGGACTTGAGCAGGCAATGTCAGACATTTCAAGGGTAATATCTCAGCGACTTAGAGAGTCAAGAGTCTCAGGTCAATACAGGATCAGTATAAGTTGTTCAGTTCAAAGGTAAAATGCTATTGGCAAGACCTCAAATAAATAGCAGAATTCAATATCACATTACAAAATCAAGCAGAGAGACGCTGCTGAACTAAAATCTCTGCTATACGACCAACAGAAGAAACATTACAGATTTACAGCTACCAATCCTAACATCCATATCGTGAATTCAATCAGTGGCTCTAATGGGGCTCTTTACGCCTTAGAAGAACCAAAAATGAAAGAAAAACTATGGCAGATTTCCAAGGTTTAATGCTTATGCTAAGGTTCAAAGTTAATACACAAAACACAAACACGTTAATGCAATGTCATGTATACTCCATGGTAGACCTCAATATGTTCGGTTTCTTATGAGAAGTTTCACTTACCTAAGGGGAATCGAACTAAGTAAGCAACATCCTCGATTAAACATTTTTGTCAACCTCAATCAAATACCCTCATTGTTTTCAGATGTTTACACTATTTTACTTCAATTTACAACCAGAATAGCGCGCATTACTTTAGCCATTAGAGTAACATGATCACACCAAATGTTTATTGAACATTTTAATCTCTAAATGATTATCAAAATGTAAAATTCCTTGCAAACATCAATGTAAAATTATAGCTATGATTCAGATTGGAAACAAAATGGCATAAATAACATATCTAAATCATAAATCAACAAAACTAAATCATCAACAATATATTTCAAATATATTCAACAACTCAAACAACAAGTGAAAAGAATCAATAAAATTAACCACATTAATCCCGGTAATTAACCACAAAATTTCCACATTCTAACTAACTCTACAAAATTATTACACAAATCGAAATAATTATCTGTAAATTGCAATATTACAAAATTTAAAAAAATGAGATAGAGCAGAAATTACCAAGAAATTGTTGCTGAATTGATTTGCAGAAAAATGTGGATAATCGAAGTTTGAAGTTCTTAAGTTCCTACCAAATCAAATGAATTGGAATTTGTAAGTACAGCAAAATGGGATAGAGTATCAGACTAGTAAAATTGAAATTCTTCTTTTCTCTGAAAATAGGAAGAATAAATAAATTGGGTGGATGTAATAAGAGGCCGGAGGAGTAAGTTCTGTTCAACATATTTGGAACTACTTGACTTTATTACTCGATACGATCTAAAGAGCTTCCGAGCTGGACTCAAATCCGAGAATAGTCCAATTGTCACTTGATTTTTAGGAAGTAATTTTTTAACCCGTTTAAACAATGACTCTGACATGTTATTTATTTATTTATTTTTGAGAAAACTCTCCATTTTTTTTTAGTTTATAGAGATAGAAAAAAAAACTCATGTGATATGAGAGAGAGAGAAAAAAATAATAATGTATTGATTATAAATAGTGACCCGATGGTCTCGAGTAAGATGTATAAGTTGTGTTCTTTTCACTTGATTTTTCACTTATCTAAATTTATCTTATCTAGTTATCTAAACTTATCATAACTTGCCTGCTTTTTTTTTTAGAACTTAATATACCTTATTCCGAAATATAACTTATTTTAGTTGTAATTTATACTTGAATGACCCTTATTCGAACTTTTTCTTCTTCTTAAATTTAACTTGTTTGAACTTAAATAAAATCATTATTGCATCTGTGAAAACAATTTAAACAAAACAAGCCTTAAGAAGCCTTCAAACTCTCAATGTTCTTTTCTCGACGTATCATCAATCATTTGAATGAATTAATGCAATGTGGAACGAAGGTAATAATTCAAATGGTGAATTTGTGTTGTGCACATGAAACAGCTTAAATGCTCTTAAGTCTTTACTTTAGTTAAATACTCTTCTCTTAATTGATATATTACTCCGTATATTTTAAATTTAAAGCATGCATCGCGTGTATATAAATATAGTGGATCCACATTGCAACTATAGTATAACACTCTTCTTCAAAACAACCTTACATATCTATAGAGCAAATCATCAATGATCCAATGTTCTTAGGAGCAGAAGCCATCAAGGTTTTAACATTAGAAGGAGAACTTTAATTATTCCTCATTCACTTAAATACGTAATTTCTATGATATTGTATGAATCACATACAGGTCCATTATAATTTTATTTCTTTTGATAAGAAAAAA